AGGAGGCTGTTATTTCTTGAACACCAGCCTCATTTATTGCAGAAGCTGGAAGCTGTGCAGTGAATGAGGCAGGGAACTGCAGGAAGAGAAAGCCCAGTCCATAGTTAAGGCAGCTGAATGCTGCCCTAGAGAACTGCCTCTGCTACAGAATTCCTAGGTGATTCTGGCCAAATCACTTAAATCCAACTCATCAGAGATGATTTCTAATTATGTGTTTCTCATTTTCTGGGAACCTGAATTGAGACCCTGGGTTCTGATTTGCAGAAGTGCTGAGCACTCACAGCTGCTGCTAAGGTCAGTGGGAGCTGTGCTTTGAACGTATACAGTGCAATAAAAATGCTAAGTACTCTGAAAAATCATGTCCTAAATGTCTCAAAATGGGCACCCAAAAATTAGTGGACACTTTTGACCTTAATGTCTGTGTGCCTCAGTACTGCAACTGTAAAAGTGGGGTAATACCTCCCCGTCACCTCACGGGGGTGTTGTGAAAATAAATTAATATCTGTGAAGTGCTTGGCTACTATGGTGAGAAGCTCCAGTCAAAAGTCCATGAGGTAATTAATAATTTAATATCCAGAGAGGGTTTGAATAGTGTGCAGTAAATAAAGCATGGCGCCACACATTGAATAATGGGAATAAAACAAGATTTCGAACAGCTGCTCATTCAGTAAATATTATCCAGCCTGTGAGCATTTTAACTTATTTTTTGGAGCAGAACCACACTTTAATCAAATAGTAAGAATGTCAGGATCAAATAGTAAGAATGTCAGAACAGAAATAGTGGTATAGGTTATACCACTTTCCTGAGAGGACTGCAACTGAACAGATGTTGCCTTCTCTGATAAGACCGGTGGAAGCACCAGAGATGGTGTTTTCTCAACTTAAATTAGGAAGTATCTGTCCTGTGATTTCCATGAGAGGTCCTTGGCTCTAGAATATGTTCCCTTCCTGATCCATCACACTCTGGATTTCTCAATCGTCTTGTCATTCTGCAAAGCCTACCATTTCTCCTGGGCACTTGGATAGAGGTTGATCTGAGGGGAGAGGCTGGTAAAATATGGGGTTATTGTTTTGTTGGCAGGTCTGATGGTGTAGTATGTGATCAGTCTAATTCAATCTATAATATTCTGCAGCATTAGGCACTTTATTGTTTTAATTGGTGTGGTGCCAAGGAGAGGCACGTTCAGTTAAACTGAACAAAATACAGTTCATTTTGGAGGCATTGGTAGCAGCCCCATAGTTAAGGCTGAGCTTTGAATTCAGTTCTAAGCTCTGCTTCCAAGATCCCTTATAACTTTTGAACGGAGTAACCAATTTGTTCACAGATTGAAATGCTGCCTATACTGGGGCATGAGAAGAATGTTCTGACAATTTGAAAAGTGATAGATGTTTATTTGATCTTTAACCACTATTTTAACATTTTATGTTTTCTCCCCAGTACCTTAAACTTTTTGGATCCCTGTGTTCTCAGCAGCGATAGGTTTTGAGAACCTCAGGCCTTGTGCAGATGCTGAGGTCCTCAGGAACAAGGTATTTTCAAATCATGGGCCATTTTCTAGGGAATTATTTAGGAATCTTAACTTGTATGGGGTGGAGCCACAGAGCTCAAGAAGAAAAGGAGTACTTGTGGCACCTTAGAGATAAATTGGTTAGTCTCTAAGGTGCCACAAGTACTCCTTTTCTTTTTGCAAATACAGACTAACACGGCTGTTCCTCTGAAAAGAGCTCAAGAAGACATCAAGCTTTACAAGGCAGATTCGCAATGCATGTTTATTTTCTACTATTCTTCATGTTTCTGGAGGACTGTCCTATAATTGTTTGACCTAGAATTATGAGGTTTATATATGCAGATAGACCAACTCTGTATTTACTGCTGTGTGTCTGTCTGGCTGTGATTCTAATGCTATTTGTCCAATCAGGACAAATTATAACAAATGATTATTTCATCGCACAGTGTGTCTGTGCACAGGTCAGAATTTGTGCAACCATTGACAGATTAAAGAGGGGGGCATTCTGAGGAAATGAAATTGTTTTTAATTTTCTTTCAAAGTTTGTTTCCCTGACTCCCCTCGGGGCATCACTACCAGGGCAAAGGTAAGGATAGATGCTGGGGTCTTTACAGCAGCAGTTTAGGTTCTTTGGATGCCTTTACTGTGAAATTCCATACTTTCAAATATTTGAGGTTTTGTTAAAGTTTATTCTTTACTGTGAATATCTTTACTTTTTATCATTTGTTAATAGATAATACAACATTCTTGCAAGGGTATTCAAACTCTTAGGTTACCAATATATATTCTCAACTTGAACTCCAGCTTTTGTCCGAGAATTAATTAATTGATATACAAAGCATAACGTCACTGATGGTTTGCTTGCATGAAAAACACAATATCTGAGATATTAATGGCATATTATCATAGAGGACAGGGAGTTTGAATTTTAAATGGCTCTTTAGTTCAAACCAACTATAAAAAATTTTGAATCTCTGTCCATTTGACGAGTGTGTCATAACCGAGCAAAAATGCTGTCACTGGAATAAATATTGACAAGTAACTTCTTCAGAAACTTCACTGCTGAGAGAACTGAAATGCCCTTATCCCCTGCCTCATGCACAGGTTGCTGTGAGTGACAATACATGAGATATCTGGGGACCTTTGTGGAATAATTTGATCCCCTCGATCCAATACTAAGGGAATGGGTGGCCATACTAGGACACTACAAGTACGGTTGGCACTGAGCTCGTCAGAAATGAGGACTGAATGGGCATGGAGGAGGAACTTGAATTTTATCTCTAGAGGTGGTCCATTCAGGTCAGCAATGAGGCATAATTGCTGGGGAATGAAAGGGAAGCTTGCATTCCCACCGCTCCTTCTGTCTCTGTCCAATGTATAATCTCCAGGTCTTTCAATACAGCACTTTCACAAGTGCTATATTCACTTCAAATATACAGAATAAAACAACACCAAAAAACAAGAATGGAAAGAGAGATGGAATTAAATGGAAATGTTGTAACCAAGATTTACTGTGTCACTGTTCTGGGTGTCACAGTGTAGTTTATTTTGTTCAAAATATCTAATTATCTGGCCTTCAAGAGTGTAATACAACCCTGTTCCCTCTCAGTTCCTTGTTCCTCTGCCAATTAAAAGATGCTACAGAAAATGGATTGACAACCAAAAAAAAAGAAAGATTAAAAAATGTGGAAAAGTTTGACTTGAAAAATCAGTAAATTTCCACTTCATCTTATAGGGATGATACATAGTTATATAGCCAGCATTATTGGGCATTATCAAAGGTTAAATGCCTCAATTGTAGCATTTTAACAAACAATTATAGAGGTGCCTCTCCCTCCTCAGATGTTTTCTCTATACATGAAAATAAAAGAGGACAGTAAGTCTGGGTCAACATGGTTACAAGCATATCTGTGACCCTTGCAGAACGTTATTGGGGAATAAAAGGCCAGGCTACCCCTTCCCTGGGAGAAGTCAAGCGTATGGGGGGGTTTCCTCTTGGTGTTTCTTTCTTATGGTCCTGCCAGGGGAATGAGGTTTGCTCCATGGAATGGAGAAGCCACCCTCACACATCATGAAGCCCTAGAGGTCTGTGGGATGCCAGGCAACTGTGAGGTGCCTCTGTGCTGGTTCCGTACTCCAGCAGCCTCCTCTCAGCTCCCTGTGTTACGAATTATACCTGGTAGGACACGCACACAACTGCTGCAAATTATACCTGGTAGGACACGCACACAAATGCTACGAATTATACCTGATAGGTCACGCACAGTTCGAATCTAGGCTGAGGCACATAAACAAAGTCCACAACTGCAGAGTTCCCAAAAAACACCAAGTTTATTACGCTCGAGTGTGGTGCCCCCCTGCTAGCCAGGAGGGGACCCCAAATACAGATTATACAAAGGTTATATACCTTTTAGAAAAGCATGTTGCCCTCGTGCATCGGAAACCTTAGCCAATAAACAAACCCTTTTCTTATCTACCACCTATCCCTGCTTGGTGCATTCCTCATGGTAAACTAGTATGTTAATTACACAGCATGGTCCTAAAGCGATGCATCAGTAACTTTTATTATCAGGATGGGAGGCCTCACATCAAAGGCCAGGAGATAGGGAGTTAGAGACAGACAAAGAACAAATACCGGGAGTCAAGGCAGGCTGGAGACAAGGAGGAGGATTTTCACAAGAATGCAGTATCTAAGGAACACTCCTCCTGGTGCATGATGTGCTTGCTTTTAGACAATGGTGGGCCTCAAACCAAAATGGAGTCACATGTGCTAACTTTTCCTTAACACCTGGCATCATGACTCTGGACCCACACAGCTGGGGACTACCCCTAGATGTGACTTCCTCAGGGCCACACCCTTCCCCACTTGGAGGGGGACTCTATGGTCAGAGATGAACCTAAAGGAGACTAAACTAGTGTAATATAAAATCCCTCAGTATGTATGGCACACCAACTTGGACTCCCTCAAAAGTCCCTTAAACTTAATTAGACTCTGACTTCCTGAGACTTACTTGGACTCACATCCACTGACCAACCTGCAAGCTACACCTCACTCCAAACCGTACATATCATCTTTGAATTGGGTCCACTGAGTCTGAGCGTAAGGGAGTCTTTGGGAATATAAACTAATGTAACTTACACTCCAAAGGGCCATAAGAGATGAGTGAAATGAGTTGTGAAAAAAATCAACTAGTGGGTGGATGTAAGAATGTACAAATTCATGAAAGAATGCCATACCTTCCTCTATCTTATGCCTTCCTGTATTGTCAACTCGCTGTTCAGGGTGTAAATTACACCAACACAAACTCACTTATAAGTGAATATAGGTAGGTCCAAGAGGGGCTGACATACCCAAACGTAGACATCATCCCTAAATTTGGAAGATCTAAGATGAAATGAATGTTATTTCCAACTTTCGTGTTTACTGGCATTAGCAACATCTCTGATGCTTTCTCAGTCCGAACGCTAACATTCTTCTGTGGTTTATTGCAGCATGCAAGAGGAAAGAACAAGAACATGGGAAAGATAGAGGGAATACACCCAAAAAGCCTCGGTTGGTCTTCACGGATGTCCAGCGTCGAACTCTACATGCAATATTCAAGGAGAATAAGCGTCCATCCAAAGAATTACAAATCACCATTTCCCAGCAGCTGGGGTTGGAGCTGAGCACCGTCAGCAACTTTTTCATGAATGCACGGAGGAGGAGTCTGGATAAGTGGCAAGACGAGGGCAGCTCCAATTCAGGCAATTCATCATCTTCATCAAGCACTTGTACCAAAGCATGAAGGAGTAACCACGAACTGAACCTCGGGGGAAAAGCTTTAAAAATAAATAAATAAATAAAGACCAGGACCTCAAGACAGCAGGTTTATACTTAGAACTATTTGAAAAAAAAAAGTTATTTATAAGTCCAAAGAAACCAAAGACTTATTTCACCTGCATTTTGACTTTGTTCTGAGATACACACTTGAGTAGGACGACGACTTGCAAGAAAAAGAAAAGAAACAAAACAAAAAACAGAGAGAAACGAAAGAAACCACTGGTCTTACACCTTCATCCATGATCATTTTCACCGTATTTGGCCTGTTTAGTGGTTTGGAGCATAGTGATTTCTTGTCATTGAATAGACATCTTTTCAGATATGGCTCTTCATTTCCACAGATATTGCCATGATGGTGTATGGTGTATCCGTACTGTGTACACACCAGTGGTTAGGGACTTAGTCAGGGCTCGTCTTCAGAAAGGGTTGTGCCAGAGCATGACCAACATAGCATGGAGTCGTCTGAATTCATTGAACGGTAGTGGGATTTTTGCTGTTTTATCGTTTGAACTTTGCTAGTGCAACATCTGGAAACAAGTTCAAACTAGGCAAAGAAATTTTGAATGATACCTAAACCAGTGCATTCTCTTTGTTTGTTAAGGAATGTTCAGATTTTTAAAAAAAAGTGAAACAATATTCCATCCATTAAAAAAAATCGACTAGCTACCAAAGAATACATTTAATATTATATTGCAGGTATTTTATTGCAATGATTTTAATATTCCAAAGCTATTTTTACACAAAATACTATGTAGAGTTATAGGTATAAACTAATCTAACTGTATAACACATAAAACCTGTAATCAAGACTGTTATTTGCAATTATTAAACCACTTTAATATTTGTTTCCATGACTGGCAAGAAAGAATGTCATTTTAGGAATAGCAACTAATGTCACAGTGTCAGAGCACAGATGCTAATAATGGGATCCTGCTTCCACTGAAGTCAGTGAGAGTTTTGCCATTGGCTTCAATAGGAGCAGGATGTGTCTTTACAGCTGTGTGTATGGCTGATATGATATTTGCCATGTATGCATACTTTTATTACACTGTCCCTGGCTGACAGTGCTGAAAGCTCATCTGCTTGAAGGGTGTCAAAAGACCATCTTTCCCTATCAATGTATTTTATATACATCTCCCAGCAAGCAATATCATCTAGATTCCAAACATTATATTCCATTCTATTTAATTCATTTTGTACACAAAAATTAAAAATATGAATAAATTTACAGTGTCCAATTCTGCCCCATTGACATTGAAATCTATGGATAAAAAGGCCATTGATGAGAAAAGGAGTAGAAGGAAACATATGGAGGAATGTGCTTTTGGGCCCAAATTATTTTTCCATTGAAGATTATGGCAAAACTCCTGTTGACTTCAGTGGGAGCAGCTCCAAGAAGATTACGGTAGTGCTTTTTTGGGGGGGGCACATCTCGAAGTCAATAGCAAAACTTTTATGGAGCTCTATACGAGTGGGATATGGCCCCTTGTTTTGTGGGTTTGTACCTGCTTACTAAGCTAAGTTTTTATTCCAGTACATTCTTTCTTGCACGTCTGTTAACCAGGAAAATGCATGAAATAGTTTACAATTTGTAGTTGAAAAGCTTTAAGTGCTCTGTTGCTAACAGAACTTTCAGAGAAATGAAATTGTTCCATTCTTATTGTGATAAAATCAAAAAGAAAACAGTGCAACATCTGCTTATAAAATTCTAGTGTAGAGGGGAAAAGATTTTACATGTGCCTGTTAGATCTCTAACTGGTATTTCAAATTACTGTTGCAAATCTCCTAAGCATACCACATTCTACAGTGAGCAGATATGCAGGTATATGTCCCATTGCTAGGATAAGAAATCTGTAATCTTTCTTATACCTGTAGCTTAAAAAAAAAAAGGTAAACTAAAATCCAACATATGTCATCATCGCAGGTTCTATTTTCTCGTTATAAAGTCCAATTAAAATGCTAAAGACTAAGAAATTAAGCAACTTTGCAGCACCATCTATTTCCCAAGTTAACAATGTTTGGTCAAGTTTCAGGCTATCCAGTTATAATTACAAATAGGTATTTTAAAACGCAACTGAAATATCTCCTTATTAAAACAATGTTAAATGAGAACAGGATGTTTGTCACTAAATATTTCTCAAAATTTTTCCTATGTTAAACTCATTTTAAAAAACTGACAATACACTTGCCTAATGAAATGTGATCCATGAATATTAGAATCTCTAGTTTACCTTAAATTCTAGCATGATTCGTTTTAAAAAGCTCTGTTCCCAACTAGACATAATTGAAGTGGAAAAGTTAATAGGAAGACATAACCTCACATTTAAGGGATCTTATAAATGCAGTCTCATTAATGTAATATTGAAGAGGACAACCATAATTAACCGTTTTGCTTTCTCCAGGAAAACACTGCTTTGTAACTTACTTATAAGTTTAGAAAGAGAGCCTTATTTATTTAAAACTTGAGAATTTAAAAATGCAGGGAAATTCAAAGTACATTACCACATTTTTAGTATTTCCATTGTAATGTGTCTTGAGACTATTTGCTGAAACCAAAGATAACTTTCATACCAGCATTGAATTTGCACCCAATATGCAATTTCAGGATCTCTTGCTATATATGTACACACACACAGACAAATTGATGCACAAGTTAAAGCCTAAAAGTGGTTTTCTTACATCTGTTTAAGTATGCTTTAACCTTTTGTTTTTTATAAGCCATTAAGAACGAAGTCACCCTTCCTGTAAGCAATATGCTAATCACATTTTGAATATACGGAGAACACACACTTCTCTTTAGTTGGTTTCTAAATATGAAGCAAAATAAATATGGAAACCTTCATCCTGATTATAAAGTTATTTTATCCCTCAGGATACTGCTCCATTGCACTGACTGAAGCATAGACAGTAGATCATTTGGTGCATCAGATTCTTATTATTTCTTGTCTTTAGTAATGGTCATCCATGAAGGTGATTTTTTCCCCCAAAGTTGCACTTAAACTTCTACATTAAGAATAAAAGCCTGGCCCCATTGAAGTCAATGGGAGTCTTGCTACTGACTTCAGTGGGGTCAAGATTTCACCCAAAGATTTCCTGGAAGAATGGAAGTTAGTATTAGACTAAAAAATTACCACTGAGCCACTGGCTCAGGACCTAAGAGTGACACGAAACAGTTCTGAAAGGAAGCGAAGTGGAAAAAGTTTGGAAACATCAAGAAATTGGGCTTCAGTCAAAGTTCAGTTAAACAGCTATTGCAGGTTAGGAATGTGCACTCAGTTCATGAAGTGCATCAAAGCTTACCATAATGACCCAAGAGGGGGGGTGCCAAAGAGGTTGAAAGTTTTAATCCATCCACATCATAAATTGCATTATCAGATTTCCAGAAAAAAACAATACCGCTACTTTTTGGCTCCCATATTGCTGTCTAAGGGCCTCATCCCACTGTCCTTGCTCAGGGTAAAAGCAAAAGTAAAATGAAAACACCTACAATGGGGGTTGTTGCCTAGCAGCTCAGTCCTGCTCATTTTGAAGTCAATGGCAAAATTCCAGTTGACTTCAATGCACCAGATTTCACAATGCTTACCCATGGTGAGTGGAATCTTGCTCCATGAGTAGTCTGTTGAATTCATTGGGATTGCTCCTGGAGTTATGTGCTACTCAGTGTTCAGGAGGTTCACAGTTTGGCTTATTGTGAGCAGGGTCAGGCCTTTAGAAGGACTTCAGAATCAAGCTCCAACATTCTGCCCAAAGGGGACTACCTGTCCTTGGAGGGCAAAAAAACATGGCTGACCTTGTTATACCAAAGAGTCCTAGGACACTTCTCCTTGCCCCAGTTGTAAAAAAGATATTTTTTCCTAGGAAAGGTTGTACTTCCTCCTCTTTCTCTTTCTCCTATCCTCCTCCTCTTCCTCCTTCTTTGTACATAAGGATGAAAACTATGCATTTAGCAAACAAAGAGAAAGCACTTATCCTTTTCCTATCTAGCTGTGTTTAGGGTGCATTCAAAGGCCCAGAGGCTAATTTTGAGACTTTGCTTGGCCTTCTGGTTTATTACTGTGGTGTGGTTAGCTTTACAATACATTTGGTAACTATTTCCTAAAGACAAAGAAGCAAAAGGTAAGGAATAGCTACTTCCATGTGTTTAAAAAAAAAGTGTGTAAAGATCTACTATTTATAGTGTGAACCAAAGACGCTACCTCACTCGATTTCCATTGGTGATTTTAATCACATTGATGATACCAAAGAATACCAAAGATTTTTCATGCACGGCCTCGGTCTGTAAAGGGAACTCATTCTCCTTCTTAAATACCCTCCACCATCCCCCTTCCTCAACCTTCACTCCGTGTGTAAACTTGTCTGCATTCTTAATAATAATAATCTTATGAATACTACTCTTACTACAACTGCTATACTGATGATAATGATGATGATAATAATAATAAAGCTCTAGGCAAACATGTTGCAAACTTTGTAAACTCATAGGACGAGTGCCTTGCTTGAACCAAAGTGTTAAACCGCTGTTGACCTCTTTATCTCTCACCTTATACTCTTTGAATACCTCAGCCTGTTAGAAAGGCCACTAATGAAAAAAAAAAGGAATAATTCTTCACCGTGGTGCTTTTTGCCGTGCAACCATGCAATGAAACTTTCTTTGATACCAAAGGAAAATGTTTTTTTCCACTTTCTTGCTGACAAACCAAAGGTTCCTTCTTCTTTCCCCTTGAAAGCAGCTTGAGTCCCTCCACCCAGACAGGCCGTGCATTGCTTTTACCAATTTCTCCAAATACCTCATAGTAATAAATCGTTAGGGTTATGTTGTATAGAGAGTTTATGTGATAAGGCAGAACTTACTAGTTTGATAATTGTTAAGGTTACTTAAAAAAAGTTTTATAACTTATTTATTTTGTAGAGGTTGTTTTGTTTGTATTTTTATTATTATTATTATTAATTATTATTATTGTTGTTTGGGTTTCTTTCTTTCTTTCCCTTCATTTCTTTTGGCAGAACTGCTCTGTTATACTCAAGGAAGATCTTATTCCTGGAAATATTTCAAAGGTTGGGTAAAGATTGTTGTTTGCAAAGAATGCAAAAAAGGGAGAAAAAATATATATATATATATATGGCTTTGATTCTTTTTGTTTAAATTAGGAAGCTTTTTGTGTTTGCTAGTCAATGTTCTTTTTACAGGGTAAAAAAATATTCTCTGCTGTGATAAATGGGTTCCTATTTTTTCTCTATAATGTGCTGTGATTTTTAATTTAATTACATTTTGTATATGTTTATTTAATCACTGCTTTAATTTATGACTACGTAGTGAAAAAAATTGTATATAGTAGATTCAAAAATGGCCAAAGCTTTGTGTTACAATCTTTTTGTTCCTGATGCTGAGATAAACTGAAGGAGAGTGCTTCTCTTGACTGCAGGGTGTATCTTCAGACTTGTCTTAGCATGCACTTCCATGTGTTACAAACACTGCCAGGTCCCCCACCTCCCAGAAAACAAACAAACAAAACTTGTACATGCCAAAATGAGTGTTTCAAAGTAGTACTTTTGTCGCTTAGAAAGCAGAAAGGCAATGTTAGTGTGTTTTTTTCCTTTAATTTATTTGTCTTTTTCTAGGAAGGTTATTTTGTGGATAAGACCTGCATATCCAAAGAACTTAAACGTTGTTTAATGTTTAAAAGCACTGGCATTTGTGAGAGACTTTGATTTGTTTTTGGTTCGATTTGCCATTCGCACGGGTATAGCAAGTAGAGGTCGTAAAAATTCTGGAGAAAAGCTAACTTGAATTTGGAAATGCTCTTCAGTACATGATACAGTCTTTACCAAGCTTTCCTCCTCTCCCTCCCCCACCAAAACTGCTTCAGCTAGGACCGGGGGAGGGTGCTGCAAACATGATAAATACATTGATGTGGTGATATACCGAGGGCTGGCTCTTGCTGCCATTGAGGTCAATGGGAAAAGTTTCACTGAATTCAGCTGGGCAAAATGGATCTCTGAGAAGCCACTGTTAAGAGCAGCTGGTCTGCCAGACACTGTTATTGGGTGTGCATTTAGGAGCAGAACAGGACAGTTTCTCAGAGTCCATCAAGCAGGGAAATATTTTCATGGGGCATGAATTTTTCTTAGCCCCCAATCCTCAAGAAAATTGGCAGAATAAATATGTAGGCTCTAATCCAGGCAAGCCCTTGTGCTTTGAACACAAATTTAGCCCCATTAAACGCAATGGGACTACCCCCACTCTTAAAGTTAAGCATGTGCTCAAGGGCTGGCTTCAGGAGAGCACTTAAACACAGATTTAAGAGCTTTCCTAAGAGGGAAGAACTTAAGTAGGTGATTCAATGCTTTTCAAACTTGGGGCTTATGGCCAAGGCCCTCAAAGGTATTTAGGGTCCTAAACAATGGAAGTTAGGAGCCTAAATACCTTTGTAGATCTGGATCTAAGTGCTTTGCCAGATCAGGACCTTCAACATTTGAAGAGAAAGTCGTCCCCCTGCAGACACGCAGCATAAGGCTGATCCAGTCACTAAATGAGACTTAAGGGGTGGATAGGCTTTGCCCAAGGTGAATTCAATCCATGGCTATCTATTTGGTCACCCAGCTGAAACAAAACAGAATAGAAATGTATTTCCCCCACACCCTTACAACTGGAAACATGTACTGTATTCTGTACTTCCCCTACGCCTGGCATCACTTTGTACATCTTTAGAGAACAAAATCAGTTTTAATTGAGAGAAAAAAAGAAATGACAATGATAATTCTGCAAAGCTGATGGTGGCATCATGGCACAGAAAATACGATGCCATTTACCTGTATTTTATTTTGCCTGAGTGATAGATTCTATTTCAACTAAATGCCATGTACCAACATGATTTGTGATGGGTGTAAATATTTTTTTTTCATGCACAATAGTTAAGCTCAAGGTGTACACTGTTTTTGTTTTCGGGGATAGTTGAAGGGTTCAGAGAGGGAAGGACATGGGAGGGTTTGGGCTTTTGGTCAAAAGTTACACTTTCTTAGATAAATTTTTATACTTCAAGTATTGAAATGGGGCAATAAAGATGCTCTGAAATGCAGGATCATTAAATGGTCTATTGGTAAGCTTTGGATAATTGTCTGCTTTTAATACATAAACTAATGCCGTGCAATGAGTTATGTTTCACATGGGGGAGGAGACAACATAGTAGTCTATTAATCCAACAGTAGCTATTAAACACTGGATGGAACTGTATTTAGAAAATGTTTTCTGTTTAGTATTTTGATTTTTCTTGGTATGTTCTGCATTTATTGCATAATCATTGTGGAATCATTTTAGTTTTGCAGTATGACCCAAACAACAGTATTAAAAGAAAATAAAGTTTAAACCATTGTCTTTTACTTGCTTCAGTAGTTGTCTTCATAACCCTTGTGTCTACTGTCCAGTCCAAGCTAAACAATCTTCATTCACCTAGATGCTCCCAAATGATGGAGTTTTTTTTAATTAACCTCTTCCCTTCCTTTCTCTGTTTTTCCATTCTGAATACACCTTTGACCTTTACTATTTTTTTCAGTGCAAGTCAGTTTCCATGTTCAAGTTAGCTTGATTGTTCATAATGTAAAAAGGGCGCCAAAGACAATCATCAGGTATAAGATCAGTAGAGGTAGGAAATCTTCCAAGAGCGAGAGGGAGTTCTTCCATAGCAATGAAAAAAAAAAAAAAGAAAAAAAAAAGAAAACTTAAGAGAAGATTTTGATAAAAAGACGACTTTGCTGTCATTTTTGGTTTGCCAATTAGAAAACGGTAGTAGTTTATGCGTTGCATCTGCATTTCATACTAAGTGATTATTGTACCTAATTACAGCTGATTGCTAATATTTCCTCAATCTCTCTCTCTTAGTCAAGCGCTTCTTCTTCTGTATTTTGTGTATAGCGACAAGTGTAATGCACTAGGCATTATTCTGGTTTGTTTATGGGTATCTCCTGTACTGCGTTAAGATTTCTTTAAGTTACTTTTTTTAAGCTTTGCTACTGTTCTCACTTGATGCCGTGCAATATCATCTGCTGTGTTTGCTAAGCAAAAAAAAAAAAAAAGAAAAGAAAAAAAAAAGCAAGTGATGATGTCATCATGCTTTTCAGTGTTAAAATGTTTCAGCGTTTATGTAGTCACAAAAGTGTAGTAAATAAAAGGTTGGATTTTCCAGCACTTTAAATTTAGACATTTCTTGCCTTCTTTTGTTTTTCCATCTACAATCACAACATACTAATCTAATCCTTACGTTTGCTTTGGGAGAGGAATGGGGTGTTTCACGTGCAATAGTTGTTAGATCATTCACAGGATAGTACATGCCAGAAAGACACAGCTCACAGAAAGGGGCAACATATTGTTGTCACCTCGGGAACATCCCAGGGAAGAAACTGTGGCTCAAGGAGACATAGTTCCCTATCTTCTCCACTCTGGATTCATGTTGGGGAGGTTATTGGCCTAGACTAGCAGCAAATAATTACCTCCTGTCCCCCTGCACCATTTCACCTCTGCTGCCTGCACACTGCAGGGGTTGGAGCCAAAGCCCCACCAGTTTCCTGCCCACTCCAGTTTGGGGATTACCCCATGCTGCCGGACCCAGATCTGGGTAGCCTTCACAGAGGAGAAAGGAGGGTTAATGCCCTTGAACCCCTTATGTCCCTACAATGGTGCACAATGCTGGGCACAAGCTAGACCAATGATTCTCAAACTTATTTGATCATGCCCACCTTCTCTGTGTCTACACAAAGTACTTTATGTCCACTCAGTCCCACCACACAAGTACATATACCAATCTATGCAGCAGTGGTAATTCACTTGAATCTGTTTCAGCTTCTTTGTTTTTCACTTGAGGTTTGCTTTTGGTTTTTTTTGAGCCAACGATCCACTGTAATAAGAGCAAAAGCAAAACTGCGATTGTAGTAAATGCTCACAATTAAATGTGCACCCCACATCATAACAAACGGATTAACGTGCAGATGGCAATGACGTTGTGTAATATTATGCAAGCTTAACAGAAATCCAGCAAAATGCACAGCGCCACCTAGAGTCAAATGCATATCACCAGCTGAGAACCTGATATGTCTGGACTGGAGGAATCGTCTTTGCTAGTTATTCATTGCTATGGGTAAAATGTGCACAGTAAGGGGTTTTTTTTCCCCCTAAAGCTTCTCATGCCCCTCGCCACACCCAGGACAGCCTGCCTTGCAGTTTGAGAACCTTTGATCTAGACCATAGTGAGAAACAGAACATCAGAAAAATTTCAAAGTGGAGAAAAAACACCTTGAAGTACACATGTTATTACTCTTATCAAACTGTTTATTGGAGGGCCATGGGGCATGTGGAATAATTAATAACTGACTTCATGCTACAGAGAATGTTATATTTCTAGAAAGAATATGAAACCTGGAGAAATGTCGAAAAAAAATAGCGACAATCTTTTTTTCTGTGAGAGGTTCACTAATCACCAGCTGAGACCTTTTGGGAAAACTTCTGTTCTAGCTGGAGTTCTATGCATGGGTAAGTGCAGGGAAATAGTAACAGATATATTGTAAGGAGCTATACTGCACTAACTCAGTAATGAACTGAATGACCAAATAGCTGTTTTCTCTCCACTCTTTGCTGCTATGAATATCTGAGTCAAGATCTACTGTGCAGCTCTTGGAGCAGAATTTCACCCTTACAAAATAGGCGGTGTGGGAATGATCCTGTGTTATTAGGGCATTAGGAAGGCCAAGCCCTGTACATTTCCGTAGCAGATGGCATTAAGGGTTCCCAACAGTGATCTCCAATCCTGAGCAGAGAGGTTGGAAAGGTAGAGTTAGAGAGATGAGCAACTCACACATAATAACTGCAGAGCAATCTGAACCTATCCGGGACAGGAAAGCTGCAGGGAAAGAAGGAGAGCTTCAGTGAATTCAGACAAATTCTTCTTCCACTAAATGGTCAATCCCCAGTCATGTTTGAGAATAGCAAGAAGTATAGGGAAGCAAACAAAGGGACAGCTCAGAATTAGTCACCACTCGGGCAGGTGGCAGTAAGTATAAATTGTGGACTTGTTTCTCTCCTCACAGTCCTACTCAATTCAGTGCACTGCAGCCACTGACACAAAGAAGTTGGCTGAGGCCTCTGGCTGGCCCTGCGTGTAACAGCACCTAGACGTTACTACTTCAACAAGGAAATAACATGCTTCTGTTGGCACCTTTTCTTGGAAGTGAAGTGAAAACCTAAAGTGTGATGGAAACTTTTGTTCTAACTCCTCCATCTCTAGACCAATATCCTCTCATCCAGTTTAGCATGGCACGCCAAAGACTTTTTGTCAAGTGCTGGATATTACAGCAATGTGGTATGTGACCTCAGCTAGTCCAGTGAAAGCTGTACCTCTGGATCTGTCACTTCAGGAGGATACGGACTGGGGGCAGGAGCTAAAGCTACATACAGTGTCCTTCATTCTAGCTGAACATCTGTTTCTGTTTGGGAATGGAAGCAACAGGGACAGCATGGCACCTTTCAGGAAGCTAGGACACTTATTCTTCTAACCATGAGTACCATGTTACACCTGAAGATGCTATTTTGGGCGGGCAGGAACAGTATTCCTTAAGGATCTTAGTGTTCTTTTTTATATAGGTTATCATATTATAAGGATTATGATCTAGTTAGATTCAACAAGCATTCCAGTCCCTATATATTGTACCTGGTCTTGAACAATAAAACTAGGTGAAATTTGGGACGTGTCTGATTCTGCATGACTTGCTTTATATGATAGTTACATAAAGATGCATATACTGCATGGTGCTGAAGTAATTCGAAGTGCCACAGTGATATTAGCCATGGGTTTATGATCCACAAGGAAATGAGCTCTATGTATCGATCCAGGTTCTTACATTCGTACTTCAACAAAGGGTCTGAGACTATGGCCAGCTGCTAATCAGAAAAGGAGTAACACCAAAGCAAGGCTCTTCCCTTTAGCTACTAATTAGAAACAAGTGTAACTGGTAAGCTAACCTGACCTGTGCAAATGTGAGAAACTTTCTTCAGCTTGCCCTGATGGCCAGCAAAAAGCCCTACTTTGCTTTCCTTTCTATTCGTTTCTCTTTCTGCAGCGTGACCTCTCTCACCTCCTTGGGCCTCTTTCTCGTAAACTAACATCATTGTTTATTTAAGAGAGAGACACAAGACACAAACTGACTGGAGCCACACTTTGCCAGAGTCCTGGGGTGTTTGGATCACAGTTTATTTATTTATAGTAATGAACTGTTTAAAAATTGGGTTGGAGAGGGTTGAAGAGGAAATCAAAATAATAATTCTATTACTTTTGCAGAGTCATTGTAGCCATGGCGCTCCCAGGATGTTAAAGAGACAAGGTGGGTCAGGTAATATCTTTTATTGGACCAACTTCTGTGGGTAAGAGAGACAAGCTTTTGAGTTTACATAGAGCTCTTCTTCAGGTTTGGGCACTGTACTCTGAGCATCACAGCTAAATACAAGGCAGACTAAATCATTTAGTATAAGTTACATATTGTAAGAGCTCACCCAAGCTGAGGGGGCTAGTTAGCACCTCTCCTGTCATAGGACAAAAAAAAGGAGGTGGGGGAGCAATTCTATGATGGGCATTTGGTTGGTGTTCTGCTTCTGGGTGGAGGCTTTAATGAGTCACACAAGTGAGCTGGGCTCTGTGCACAGGACTTGGATCCAGAAATTGGTGACTTCTAATCTCAGTTCTCTGTAACCTTGGGCAAGTCACTTTCTGTTTCAGTCTCCTCCCCCTCCCTTTATGAAAATGGGACAAAAATACCTTGCCTCAGAGAGGGGTTTGTGAGGCTTAGCCATCGTCTATAATGCACTTGGAAAATGGACAGTGCCATGGGTGTGCCAAACAGGAATGGGTGAATTCATTTGGCCACATTTCAAACTCACTTGAACAAAGTAGATGAAGCTGGGAGAATAAAGCAAAAGGGAGATGGGGTGACAGGATCATGACCTCAGAGGTCTGATGGGAATCTGGGGGCCCTGTCCTGAGGAAAAGGTGCAGTCTGGGGAAACATGGCAAGATAAATGGTCATAAAACAGTAATGAGCAGATGCACAAGGAGCAGGCAGAGAAGCACACCTTGGAGATACCTGGGTTCCCACCCTTATTTTTAAAAAAAGCACGATATTCCCCAGTAATCGTTTAAAACACAATAGTGGTACAAGAGCATTTGGGCAATCACTCCAGCATGCAGCAGTATTAGTTACATAGTCACCAGCCTCTCCAGTTCGCAAAAAGCATGCAAATGACCAAACCAAAACATCATCATGAAGGCGCTTGTCTGGTGATGACAGCAGCTCCCCACCTGTATGTGAGAGAGAGCACAGAAATTGCCCCTACTGGGGCTGATAGAGTGATATGCTCTGCCAAGGAAGTGTGGGCATATGGACATACAAGCTACCACCATTCAAACTCTAGCTCTAGCAGGCCAGGAACCCACGTCACTGGTCAGATGAACCCCCACACACAGCACGGCGGGTGGCAACCCATGTCTTGACAGGCCGTGTATGCAAAAAATTTCTTCTGTGCAAATTGTTGTGCTTCTGTGCCAATATTTGTGCACGCGGTGTTTTGCCGTATACGCGGGGTTTAGGATCTGTGTGCACACGCACATGTGCACAGCTTAGGGGGAACAGTGGTGGCAACAGAAGGTACTTTGCACACCAAAATCTAATACACACAGTGAGAGACCACAACTGTCTGTTGTGACTGTATGGAAGTATTGGACATGAGTGCAGTCCATTGGGTTGCTGCTGGAAGCCAATAGTTGTTGGTCCCTCCCCATTTAGTCAGGTGATGTTAGAGCCTGGGCAACCCCTGTAAATTCCTTTGTGTGCTGTTCATGTTGTGATTCCAGAGCCTCTTTCCCGCCCTTTGATGACACCTCCTTGCCAATCTCTATGAAAGTTCTATCTACCGATGTACCTTCCATCTTTGCAGTGCATTTCAGAGCAGATTGCAGCTGCTTTAATTTTCACATGCGCCCATAACAAGAATATGCAGTACTGCCAGGAAACCTGTGATTGTATCCTCATTTGCATACGCCCCACCCCCTTTCCTATACATACATGGGTTCTGTGCACAGCAACAATTTTCCAAAGTCTCCCTGCACTGCCCCTTTGGGGACCACGCCAGCACTGAGTAGGCTATGGCTTTCAGTGTG